AAATGCCCAGTAGAGAAATCCCATGTCAAATATAATTGGTCATCACTGATATGGATATTCTCAGACCATTGAAGGATCTAAAAAATTCTGCAGTAAAGAAACCAGTTTGTCTTGGTTTAATTATCTGGTTCCAAAATATATTAAGACTGTAACTCATTTTTCTCATATTAATAACCACTGTTTTTTTTTCTGTACAATAAAGACAATAGCTTTTAGTTCAAAATGGCATTTTATGTATTTAATAAGATTTAAAGCATTTAACTAGGTGCCTGGCTTATAAGACTTCTATACATTTATTTGTAGTTCTTTTCTTAATCGTGGTAGTTATTTTTTGTTGTTTCCAATAGCCATGATAATAGAGTATGTTATGCACTATATCCTGGGAAATGCTATATGAGAAGTTTGTCAATGTTTGCATACCACAATCAATGAAATGTGTTAAGTGGGCAATTCTGAGTTGTACAATCATCAAACTGGGATTTGATGATTTGTATATGTGGAAATAGCATCAATTTGGAGTCAGAACATATGTGGACCCAGATCCTAGGTCTATTCTGCTTTCAGTATGATCTTAAATAGGTTATTTAACCTCTTTGGGCCTCAGTTTTCTCTGCTAGAATATGACTTTTAATTCACATGCATTTGGGAAGATAAACTGGGATGACTTGTGGAAAATGAGTGATTTAGTGCCAGGTACACACAAGGTTAATTCCTGCTTAATTCCTTGTATATCCAGGCATTTTTGTTATCTATGTTGCTGTTCCCTGCTCTACTTCTGGAATCCAGAGACTTAGTCCTGCTTGTTACATAAGAGGACATCAATTGTCTGTTGACTATACCTTCCCCTCCCCTTCTCATCACTGTGTTACCTCTGTCTACTGAGCTCAACCCCAAGAGTTCTTTATTAGTTCAAAGAGCTAAAATTTCCCACCTTAATACAACTCAGTGGTTGATGTACCATCTGCTGCTGATGTAGGCTTAGAAGGGAGACATCGTCTTTTTTATACAATCAGGAAAATATGTTTTCTAAATGACTCCAAACATAAGACCATACAAGCATGGTCTCATTTGATATGTATAACAGCTCCATAAAATAGATTATCACTTTTTCTCATCTCCTTTGTATAGAAAGGGGAACAGCTTCAGAATTGTTTTTGTATTTCCACACAGTCATTTTATATAATGGAGTTGGTACTAGTATCAAGTCTTTTGACCCCCAAATAATACATACCAGTAAGACATAACTGTTATGACAAGTGCTGCCCTGGCAGTGCTGAAGACCCTCACCTGCCTATCATTTAATCCTGGACCAATCTCTGGGTGGAAAGCAACATTAATCCCCCTTGCATAGACAAAGAAACAGGAGCTGCTGGAAAGTGAGAGCCAGTATTTGAATTGAGGTCTGTGTGACTCCAAAGCCCTGTCCTGCCCACTAAATTATGCAAACTGCAGATAGAATCTTTGGCTCCTTTAAATGGCATAAAGTCTTCAGTAAAATGTGCTCCAGTAAACTAGCACCTGGGGCTGCAAATGAGTTTTAATGAATACTTACTGTACACAAACACCTAGTTGGCTGTTCCTTAAACACAGGTTTTGAGATGTCTGGGGATACTGGCTGAGTGAGCATGCCTTTCATCAGGATGGAGTCAGCCACACTGTAAAAATTTGCCAACAGTTGAGTCCATATTTGCAGAGCTCCTTGGCTTTCTAGGTTCAGTCTTCAGACTCTGATTCTCCTGTGGCTCCCACAGAGCAGCTGGGCTGCTCTGATTCTTTCCTTCGTTTGTTTTAGATCAGAAATAAGCAATAGCAAGAAGAGTTTTCATTTCTGGAAAATTTGCCAAGAGGCAGGCACCATACACAACCCTTTGCCTTCATTATTTTGTCCCTAAGTCTTCATATAACTATTCTTATCAGTTCACTTTTGCCAATGAGAAAACAGACTTGGGGATGTTGTGTAACTTACACACAGCCACACAGCTTATAAGTGGTAGGAGCACAATTTAAACCTTGTCAATCTAATTGTAAAATGCAATCCCTTTGACATTTTGTTAAACTACCTCTTCTTTAGGGAGAATGGAAAATCAATTAACAAGAAACACAAGCTTCTTTGTCAATGATTCCAGTGAATGTAGAGGTAGAACCAAGAATAATTTTGGTGACTTTGGAGACATACACTAGAATTGAATTGCCAATGGCTTTCCCAACTTTTGTTTCCAAAGATTTGACCTATCTATCTTCCTGGGGGTTACAGTAGCCAAGGGAAGATGCTGGAAGTGCATCACATCCATCAAACATCTTGTTTGACTTTCTTAAAAGACTCACTCTCAGGCTGCCCAGAGAAACATGAACAAATGCTTCACCTCTCGTTGAGTATTGCTTCACTGTCTATGACAATCCTATGAATATTTCTCACTGGATTATTTTGGCTATGGAATGTATTAGTTTTCTATTATTTCTATAAGAAAATATCACACACTTGGTGAATTAAAACACAAATTCATTATCTTACTGTCCTGCAATCAGAGTCTGAAATGGGGCTCACTGAACTAAAATCAAGGCATCACCAGAGCAGAATTGCCTTCTGAAGACTTTAGGGAAAATGCATTTCCTTTCTTTCTCCAGCTTCTGAAGACTGCCCATTGCATGGCTGTGGCTTTTCCTTCATCTTCAAAGCCAACATGTCCAGTCACATGTTCTTCATGCTACATTAACTCAGCACTGACTCTACTGCCTTCTTTCCACATTTGGAGCCCTTGTTGATGTCAGCTGATCACCAATGTGAATTCCATCTGAAAATTTGATTCACCTTTGCCATGTAAAAAAACATAATCTTAGGTTCCAGAGATTAGAAAAAGGAAATCTTTGGGGCAGTGAGGGGGAGTCATTCTTCTGTGTACCACACAGAACTGTTTATAATTTTTAGTCTTCAAACAGAATCCTTCAGAAGTGTGCATTGTTAAAAACAAATGAAATGATAAACTATGAAGATAGTCATATCAAGGAGATATCATTTAAAATTATCATTACTGGCAGCATTCATTATATCCAGGAGTAGTTCAGCACCCAAAAATTGTTGCAGATTAATGAGTTAATATTCATTATAAAACCCTAAAAGTGCCATGCTCAAGTAGACCTAGATCACTAGGAATTTGTGGCCACAGGAGTTTGTGTGAGGTTTGATGCAAACCTCATTCTGACTCCGTGACCTACTCTGTGTCTACCAGTAACAGCTACTCCAAATTGCTTATTAACTGTTCTGATCCTTGTTTTCCTTATCTGTGACTTGAGCATGGCAGTATTTCAATGCTGAAGCCAATGTGAGGATTAAATGAGACAACGCATGTAAGTTTAGCATAGCACCAGACTCTGAGTAATCAGTAGTAATTACTACTCTTATCTAGCTAAACAACTCAGTAAAATTTTTACAATTCCCCAGTAAGAGTGGGCAGTGTAGCACAGTGCCAGGAATGTGATTGCCTAGTCATACAAGTTTAGTTCAAATCTCAGCTTCTCTATTCCTTAAAAGGATGTTTACATTTCTCAATATCACTGAACTTCATCTGTAAAAGACAATAATGTTATGTCCTTTAAAATGTATTATTTTAAGAAATAGATAAGATGATATTAAAGACTTAGCACATGCTCAGTCATATAATAAATAATAACAGAGGGGTATGTTACTTGTAATAGTATGTTAAGACTTTTTGATTGCAATTAAAATTATCAAAATAGGGAGCTATTGGCTTGTGGCTTGAAAAATTCAAATAGAATTGGCCTGAGTTGGATTTTACAGATGCAAATAAAGGTATTACCAAGAATATCTCTCTTTCCCTCTTTCATGTGTTGGTACCCTCTCTCCTTTGTGCAGAAAGAAACCTATTCCTAAGAGTTCCAACAAAATTTGGGTATTGACTACTGCTGAACCCAGGTAATTTCTGTTCCAAAAATGTCCTGTGGCCAGAGTAATAGAATATACTGACTGGCAATACCTGGGTCACATAACCCAGGACCACTGCCTGCTGAGACAGAAATGTGCTAATAAAAGGTGCTAATATGAAGCTAAGAGGAAGGAAGTAGACTTGAATCATCCACTCCACAGAGACTAGGAGAGGTAAATTGGGATTCTCAAAGTAAAATTAAAAAAATGAAAAATGTGGCAAAAGTTGCAAATGTCCCCTCTACCATTGCATTAGTACAGTATTATTTGAATTTTCTTAGAAGCCAACTTTGGCCAAGGACTGCATGGCTATCAGACTGCCACCTAATGGGACACTTGAATAACCTCTTTCAATAAAATTTTGACAGCCTGGTTTAAACTATTGACATGAATTTCCTGGGGGAAACAATTGCCCTTTTAAAAGGGAATTTTAAGACACACAAAGTGTAGGACTGTGATAGTTTTAAAATATGTCCATTAATTCTATGACACTTGTCTTTTCAAGAGTTTCAGCTTAATTTCACTCTTCCAGAATATGGGTTGGACTAAATGAATAGAATATGGCAGGAGCGATGGTGTGTGACTTCTAAGCCAGGTCATAAGAGGTACCACAACTTCCTCTTTGCTTTCCCTATTGGAATGCTCATTTTGGGAGACGTCAGCTGCCATGTTGTGAGGACCATGGGGTAGCCCCACAGAAAGGAGGAGAATTGAGGTTTCCTGTCAATAGTCTGTGAGAAACAAAGGTCTCCAGATAGCAGCCAAAAGAGTGCACTACCTTGGAAGTGTATCCTCCGGTTTCATTATCTTCACAACTGCATTTCAGTCAAGAGCTTGACTACACTCTATTGAGAGACTCAAAACCAGAATCACCCAGCTAAGCATCCCCCTGATCCTCAGAATCTTTGAAAAATTGCAAATGATGCATACCATCAAGTGTGAAGGAATTTATTATGTAGTAGTAGAAAAATAAGACTGGAGAGAATAAGTACAATATTATGGAATGAGTATTAGAAGTACGAGGAAACCCAAGTCTGTGTTCTGGATCTAAAATTAAACAATACTTACCTAGCAGGGGAGATACATGCACAGGAAGGTGGTTTTCCCAGGATGAGGCTTATAAATTGCTCTCAGATACACTAACTACTAATAATTCCCTAAATGTGGGGAACTCAATCCCATACTTTGTGGTAGTGGGGGACTGCATTCACACTTTCCCCTGAAAAAAATTGAATAAAATTGTGCATCAATATCTTTGCTCTAATAATTTATCTAAGCCTTAATTTTTCTAAATGTAAACTGGGAAAATAGTACATTTTTGTACACTTTGAAAGCTATTGGTGGTAACATAACTATCTAATGTTGGCATAGCTTAAGGTAGCAAAACTAATCTTGGAATTACCTTATGAATTTCATATAACCATTTCACAGATAATATGGGGGGAAAATTTTATTTATTTTTTTCAAATCTTTTTTTTTTAAAGATTTATTTATTTATTTATACAAGCACTGGGTACATTCAGAAGCGCGGGAGGGTGAGAGAATTCACCAGAGCCAAAGCGGGGAACAAAACAGGCAGAGCAACCGAAGTACACTGCTGAGGGGAGCAGCGGGCGGCAGGAGAGGTCTGTCACGCCACGTGGGATCCGGCGGCTGGGGATCGAACCGGTGCTGCAGAGGCTGCGGGCAGCTTCGCAGCCCAGCGCTCAACCATTGTGCCACCAGGGGAGGCCCTGGGGGGGAAATTTAAAATTATGAATTCTCTAAATAATTGGGGATCTTAGAGTTGGCAGGGACTTAAATATTTAGTTAATTTCCTTGCATTGTTGCCATTTAAGATTTGTCATTCAATTACAAGGTCCAAAAAGTTAAATGCTTTAACTCCAGGTGACACAAAATGAATGAATCTCAGAATTCAGCTTTTCTGAACTCGGTTTATCTATAAGATGGGATTAAGGATACTCATCTTTGGAGGTTGTTGGCAATTGTTGTCTGTTGAGGCAGTGACCCACGTTGTCCAGATTAAGAGCAGTATTGTGGCTCAGGAACACATTCCAGCAGCTACATGTTACTTCAAACTAACAAGTCATTTACTTTTTTTTTTAAAGATTTATTTATTTATACAAGAACCCGGATACAGGCCAGATGTGCGGGAGGGTGAGAGGATTTACCAGAAACAAAGTGGAGAACAGAACAGGCAGACTGACGAAATACACTGCTGAGGGGAGCAGCGGGCGAGACAGGAGAGATCTGCAGCGCCATGTGGGATACTCGCCACCTGGCCGGGATCAAACCCGTGCTGCTGAGGCTGCGGACAGCTTCACAGTGGGGCGCTCAACCACCTGCACCACCAGGGAGGCCCCAAGTCATTTACTTTTATCTGAAGTCATGCAGCAACATATTGGGGGTGGGGGATAGGGATTTGAATACAGTATCTTCCTTCAGACTCCTCAGTGATGTTCCAGTCACCTAACACTTGGCCTGCGGCACCCCCAGTACAATAACCCCTCTTTTTTCCCAACTGTTTCTTCCTTGTAGTATTTATGGTAGGGTGAGGCATTCCTTAGCTGGTGAAGAAAGAGCAGCGAGTGAGTGGGAAACTCCTGAATCCTTTTTGGTGAGTAGGGGGAAATAGGCAGAGAAGTCTCATGGTAATCATTTCACCCAACATCACTGTTGAAGGTTGGATTCTCCTTGAAGTAGCATCTGAAACAGAGTTTAGCATGTATGACATTTTTTTTTTTAAGATTTATTTATTTATCTATACAAGCACTGGGTACAGTCAGAAGCACAGGAGGGTGAGAGAATTCACCAGAGCCAGAGTGGGGAGCAGAGCAGGCAGAAGGACCGAAGTACACTGCTGAGGGGAGCAGCGGACGGCAGGAAAGGTCTGCGCGCCACGTGGGACCCTCCTCCAGAGGCCGGGGAGCAGCTGGGGATCAAACTGGCGCTGCAGAGGCTGCGGGCAGCTTCGCAACCCAGCGCTCAACCGCTGCGCCATGGGGGAGGCCCATGTATGACATTTTCAAGGAGGGTGCTTGGGACAAGCATCTGTTAAGAGGAGGAGGAGGAAGCAGACTGGGCAGACAGAAGTCAGGCTGCCATGCAGGTCCCCTGAGAGCCTCAACTGATCCCCAGGGAGCTCTGGAGGCAAAATGGCCCCTCCAAACAGCCCTGCTTTGGGCCTACATGCCATAGCTGGTGTAGATTCATCTTGACCAGTTATTGGCTGGGAGTCATTGAGGGACAGGCATGTCTTGGGGAAGGCACTTAGGCAAGTCCTGAAGGAGCTGATGAGTGAAGGTTGTCTGCCAACAGCACTTCCAGCAGCTGCAGCAACAGCTTGAAGGGGAATCTGGGTGGTTCATCACTGTATTCACCACAATCACATATGATATATGTGCCTGGCACATCATAGACAATCAATAAATAATAGCCACTAGCTGGCTCTGCTCCAGCCTCCTTCCACAGTGTTCCTGTGCTCTCTCTTCCTGCATCCATGAGACAGTCTATTTGTCTGCTTCCTCAAACTGCTGAGAAGCCAGACTAAGACCGGTGGACTCAGAGGGAAGCTTCAGGAAACATAGTCAGAGGATACACTGCTCTTTGAATAACTAATGTTCAGTGAGCAGAGAATCTTGTCCTCAATGGGCCATTGCCAGGAGGTCACACAGGGATTTTGCTGAAATATCTGGTACCCAGGCAGGACAGGAAGCACCAGAGGGAAATAAGCTGCCAGGTACCTGGCTGCCTCACTTAGCTTCTCTTCCTTGGTGTTGACACTTAGCTCAGTCTGCTCTTCTGGCTGCACTGTACATCAATGATGGTGCAGCTCCATGCCCTGAGCCAATAAAATGGGTGAGTGTTCACCACAGAGGTAAGCTCTCCATCTGGAGAGTCTCAGCCAGCTCCTCAAATGTGGCCAAGGGTAAGCTTGCTAATCAGTCTCAAAACTTTTCTGGAAAATCAGGTCAAATGAATATCACAAAAGTCCTTGAAGGAAAAGAGAAATCACCAGAGAAGAACCTCAGGAAAATTTGAAGAGAGGAAGGATAGCTGATTTCCCTTCCCTGGGGAAGAAGGGTTCATGGGCTGATTACACTGAAGAACTTCTTAATTCTCTTTTCTCTGCCTGTCTCAGGCCTTGCCAGGTATTTATGGATGGAATAGAGTAAATTGTCATTTGGCAACAACTGAAAGGCTGAGCTGGGCATGCCCATTATAGCAGAGACTTAGCTTCATTTACTCATTTACTACAGTGTCAGGTGATATTCTAGGCCTGGGGACAAAGCAGTAACAAGTAAGAGCCCAAGTACATAGCCACTAGACTATAATGTTCTATATAGGTCAGCTACTTAGCAGTTAGAATTTGAACCCCAAGTTAAAAGCATTGAACTCAAGTCTACAATCATAAACACCATATCATACCATCTACACCCCTCAGTCACCAACTATGTATCTTCCCTTCACCCTCACCATTTCAGTTATATATTATTTATGACATCTAAAACCTCAAAGTTTATTGCATGTTAAAATCACTTCAGGAATATAGCCAATCTTGGAATTTCTAAGATTGTGGGGTGGATGAGTAACAAGATAGGTAAAGTAATTTCTCTTCATTTTTCTGATCCGCCTTTTAGATTTTACTAAATATGCATGATTCCATATTGTCATGATATTCCATCCATTAGTTGCAGAATACATGTATATCCTGTTTGACTTTTTTGTACTTTAAATATCTTCAGTTACTTGTGTGTTTCATTGCAAAGCGAAGCATGGGCATGGCCTCTGTATTATCCACAAGACACCTCTCACAGTTATGTTTGATCCAAGCTGATTCTCAACAAAATGGAATTTAATGCATGGGATTAAAAGAATCTTTGACAGAGTCCAGCTGTGAACGAAAGGAGCAATGAATGAAAGGCAACAATGACAGGAAATCCATAAGACAGCCAAGTAAGGAAAAGACACATATTTACACTTTTTATGCTATTCTTGCAAATGCCTATAGACATTTTACCAATCAGTCCATTCCCCAGGAGGTCCAAGTACCTTCTGAACAGGAGGTCAGATTATTTATAAAATATACATACATATATATATATATATATATATATATATATATATATATATATATATATATATGGCTTAGAGACATTTCCAACTTAGAAGAGTCATTTCATCTTTTTGCAAGTCAACCTCAAATCTGTTAAAAAGAGGATGACAGAATCTGTGTTACTTGAGATCAAATAATATAAAGGGAAAGTGTTTTTCCAGCTGTAAAGCACTATACAAATATCAGGTATGTTTAGGGAGATTATTTTACTAAGGAAATGTGATGGAATATGTTTTAAATGAACCAAAAAAATCTGTGAATGTTTTAGTGTAAACTCTAAGCATGTCACATTTCTCAAGAGGATACTAAGTGATATCTTTAGGAATGTTAAGAGGTTTATTTTCTTATCATAAGATAGGAATTTGTGGTTTAGTTTGAGAAGGCAGCTTGTGTGCTGTGCAGTATTTAAGATCAGCAAGAAAGATCTTCCAGTGGTGAATTCCAGTTTAAGGAGGTAGCATCTCATATCCAGATGTGGCTTTTCATAATACACTCAGAATTGGATTTGAGCAGAGAAATCCTTTCAAGAGTTGTGCTATTTCCACACTGACATGAAAAGCTCTCCTTTCTATAGTTCAAAGGAAAAAAAGAATGAACAATGATATTTGAGGGATAGATAGATGATAGATGGAAAGTGATTTTACTATAAATATCTAACTCAAGTTATACTGTAAAAGAATCAAGATCAAAACATGAGTTGAAAATACAGTTATGGAAAGTATTTTTAATCTGTATAAGAACTCATAGATATTATTTATTAAATCTATTTTTAAATACACTCTGGAATAGAGATCTTATTAAACTCTACCTGCTATTCTTGAAGCTACTGAGATATTCTACAGGAAAATGATATTGGAAATATTTAATGTGCCCCCACTTCTTTGAAGCATTTGACCGACACTAAATCTCAAGACTAAATCTGTTAGCAGGTCTCTCCACTTCTTTTCCCCTCCTTCATTCTTCTCCAGACAGCAGCCAAAATGATACCCTTAAAATACAGACTAGATCATGTTCCCTCTAATCCCATCAACATTCCCATATGGCTTAAAATAGTGCCATGACTTTTTTTTGCATTTAAAATACAATTCAAATTCCTTACCAAAGCC